CTTCTCCTCGTTTGGTTCTGGTTCTGGATGCAGAGCAGAACCAGAACCAGAAGATCTGAGAGGTCTAGACGGTTGGTACAGCAATAACAGATCTTTAATGTATTGTGGTGCTAAACCGTTCAGTGATTTATAAACTAACAGTATTTTAAGTCTATTCTCTGAGCTCCAGGGAGCCTGTGTAGGGACTTTAAAACTGGTGTTATGTGCTCCATCTTCCTGGTTTTAGTCAGAACGCGAGCAGCAGCGTTCTGGATCAGCTGCAGCTATTTGATTGATTTATTAGTCAGACCTGTGAAGACGCTGTTGCAGTAATCAATACGACAAAAGATAAACACATGGATGAGTTTCTCTAGACTCACTGAGACATCAGTCCTCTAATCCTAATCACACAAGGATTCAAGGATTTTTTATTGTCATACCACCTTGGGAGTTTGTGGTATGGAATTTGTACTCAGGTCCCAGATAAAGAAATCCACTACACAAAAAAATAAATAAATAAATGAACATAAAGTAAATTAAGTGATGTAGTTATGTGTCTGTTATGTGTCTCAAGCTATGAGGTGAAGCTGCATTTGGTGCAGCTTGAGTTCAACAGCCTGACGGCTGAAGGGAAGAAACTGTTCCTCAGCCTAGTGGTCCTGCTCTGGATGCTCCTTAGCCTCCGGCCTGAGGGAAGCAGCTGGAATAGCCTGTGTGCAGGATGAGTGGAGTCCTACATGATGAGGAGCGTCCTCCTCCTGCATCGTGCAAAGGGAAGTAACAAGGAACTAGCCATGGAGCAAGTAACGGGGATCTGACAGTGACTAAATTCAAAACAACCCCACACAGAGGAGGGTGGACCTCAGATCAAACTGAACCCAATACATAGTTTTCATATCACATTCCAGGAACTTTGAAACTGACAGCCATCTTAGTAGGCAGTTGCTATGGAGTTATGTCAACATTTAACAAACCACAAGCTTAGAAATAACTTATAAACAGTATAGGTACATTATAACCATTACCTGATGACAATTTTTGAGTGCTCAACCCACCTCTGTGTAATACTAAAATAAATATCAGTTATATTTACTGTAGACCAGAGGTCTCATTCTCGTGGCCCCCACCGTGATATGAAAGTATAATATTAGTGGGGCCCACAGGGTGAGCGGACCTCTGAAGGAAGTGCCGCCCGCCGTTCCTCGTCATGGCTGACATTCGGTGCTAGGCTAAGCTACACTGACTTCATGCACACTACGCTTGTAACAATAGTGTGGCCTGATGATGGACCGGTCCGGTACCAGTTTCCCTTCCCTGCAGTCGCCATTGCGGTACTTTCTACCATTAACAAATGCCACGATCAAACGCAAAGAAAGGCGACTGCTACTGGGCTGCTCGTCATCCGCCGCGCTGTTGTGACAGGAAGAAGTGGTAATGATGCCACGCGTCCAGACGTTTTCCATACGTTGCTAGCTGGCTAAAGACTTCTATGAAACGTAGAACAAGAGCGACGCCAAGTGGAATAAACTAAATTTTGTCACACCATCATAATGTCTTTGTCAAAACCAAAGCCTGCAGTTCATGTATTGGAGAAATAATTAAATGTTGATGACATTTGAGGATATTTTTTAACACCTCTTGCCTATTTGTGTTTTTCTCTCTGACTATTTTCGTCCTAGAGTCAGTATAATAGAGTCAGTATAATTTAAACTAACATGTTTATTCTGTATGTTTGTTAAAAATATTATCTTCTGAGCTGATTAGATGCAATGGGTACAAACTCTCAGTGTCATGGCAACACGAGTTTCTCTGCATGTGTCTTTTCATGCACTCAAGTGTGAGTGTGTAGGCGGAAGCAGGCTGGTAAAGCCAGCCTCTGCATCAGTTTATCGTACAGCGTTGCTGCGTAATGTGCTTTGTAAGTTTTCACGTTGTTATGTTGCAAGTTATTCATCAATACTTACGAGTGCTGCATGATGAAGTCAAACAGGTGTGGCTGGTTAATAGTGTGGTACATTCTCTTTATGCCAGGATTGAGGCTTGGAAGATTCTTAAGCCAGCTGGGAAAAAAAAGTCTAGAATAATTAACAAGTTTTCCAAAATGGGAAACATATCAATGATTTATAAGGATGTATTTGCACACATACATGCAGAGTTCACTTTTAGTAAAATCCAACTAGCTTATAAAAAATACTTATAACTACCTGTTTTAATAATTCAACACTAAATATACATTAATATGCATTAATAGACACGGTGGAAACTGTCTTAGCAGTACAGTAGCTGGTAACATCCATAGTCTTCATTATCTTGGCTCTTCTGGGTTTGACCAATCAACGCCTAGAAAAGTGAATAGTCTTCCTGGATTGGCTGCTTTGAAAACACCACACAATAGCATTCCAGGTACCCAAATTGCATTTTCTTTTAAATAGGTTAGATAACTTAAGAATGTGTTAAGAAGAATTCTCCCAAAGGGCTACTTTTCAAAACTTCAAATTATTTGCGTTACACTCATTTCAGATCTGTGATAGTAGCATAAGTTTAAAAACCAAACCCTGAGTCCTTTATCTTCCACCTGATGGTTATGCTTTATTTTAAGCTAGTCCAGCTCACAAAATTATGATGAAATCAAAACACTGTAGCTTGTTGTTGTAATGTACCAAAATCTGAAATTTGTAATAATTTCACAAAGCATTATACAGCCATGGAATCTTTTATTTATTTTTTTCTCTGTAAAATAGCTACAATAGAATATTTTTTCCCCCTCATCACCAAATTAAAATGTTAAAAAGTGTATTTCTGCCCACAAAAAACAAGGCAGGTTTTAGGTCAGATCTTAAATACTCAACACTGAATAAAAATATTGAGCTTTTTCTATTAAAAACTTTCTATTTCCTATCGTTCTCCAGTTCTTGTTAATAACAGTGGGAGCAATTAACAACTAAACCTCCATAATATACGATTGCTCCTTTTTATTGCACCCTTTGGATATTTTAGTGCATCAGTAAGCATTTTCATTCTGCCACTAACGTTGCTTGTGTAATAAACACAGATGCTTCAATAAGAATTTGTCTAACTGCTTTGAAAAACTCTGACTGGAAATTTTACGGCAGATGGTGAAAAGAAAGTCTAACTGGATGTGAGCCAACCGCTAATTATTAAACACAACACGCAGGAGCTGATGTTACAGACAAGGTTGTGTCCTTAGACGTCCTTATTTAGCTCTCATGCCTAACCGTTACTCCACAATGTCTACTCGTCATTCCACCACACCTCTCTATTTTAGCTGTATTATTTAAAGGAACAAACTTTATTTGCCCCAGTTTTTAGTTAACTGTACAGAATTTCTGTACTTATTTATTTGAAATATACCACCAGACAGACAGAAGTTATCCACAAGTTAAGAAGACATGTAAAAGTGAAATCTTTCAGGAGTGGCTGGCCTAAAATAATTATTAACACAACTGACATATCAACCAGGAGGTCATAAAAGAACCTGAAACAACTTCTAAAGCTAGTGTTTGTGATTCAATAATTAGCATACGTTCACACCGCAGGCAAATTTGACCCAAATCAGATTTTAGATGCCAATATGCAACATCTGACTTCTTCATGACAGTTTGATTGACCCAATTCAGATTTTTTTTTTACCCCTCTCCCCCCTCAGTAAATCCGATTTGTGCCACATTTATACATGTCACAATTCCACAATTCAGACATAGACAGTGGCTGAAGGAAGCTGTGCTGACACGGTGGATGCAGATATCTGTGTTTTCTTTGACTTTAATAAAATTGCAGAAATTGGAATTCCAAAAATGATGGAAATGCGCTGATTTTGGGAAAAAAAAATCAAATTTGTCAATAAAATGTTTTGGGTGGGTTGGTTTTTCGGCTCAACAGCACTGCAATGTTATTTACGAGTATGACTAAAAAGATGATGCTGTCTTTTTACTTATCATGTGAACAAACTTATTTAAATTGGATTTTTATGGTGTTTCTTACTTAATGGAAACAGTGTTTACAAATTTTTTTTTCAGCTTTGGCGAGAAGCTGACAAAAGCATAAAGTATAAAGTAGACTAAAGAGCAGGGCATTCTGGGTAAATATAACCAAAACAAACATGGTTAGGTGCTTTTGCCAAAGACCAAAGAGAAATACAACAATCTCAAAAATATGGTGCCACTCCATTTTTATTTAGATTTCGTGAAGAAGGAAGTTTAGTTCTGTGTCTTCTTTGGGTATTTTCATGTCGTTTCATTCACTAGTTTGTGGTGCAGCACCACCACAGGTGAGGAGGTGAACAGGTTGCGTGAAACCGAACCCCATTGGCTGAAAATGTTGCAATTTTGATTACCAATGAAACCAAGTTCCATTGGACTATCATGTGTGAAAACACCCTAAGCAGGGCAGATAATTCTGATAGGGGCAGGATCGTTTACTGTGAATTTAAAAACAGTCTGCTTTATTTGCTTGACCTAACATTTATCAAGTTTACTGTGAAATAGAAACCTGTTCTTCTTTAAGGTAAAAAAAAAATCCCTCTTTAGTCGTCCCTGTCAGAACTAAAACCTGGTCTCAGCCGAATCTTTACTAACTCTGTGTGACATTGTTTTTTTTCCCTGTCATCTGTGACAATGGCCATTAATGTTCACTAGGAACAAATCCCTGAAGCGCGGTGTCAGAATATGATGGACAGCCTTCCCTGAGGAAAGGAAGCTGTTTTAGAACCGGATTAAAGCCTGTGGTAAACAAAGCACATATGAGTAGGATGGTGCACGTCTGCACACTTGAGGAACCATACTGTATGGTGTCTTCTACCCTGGCCTCACATGACTCTGACTCGTCTTCATTGTCTTATTTTTTTCTCCTCTCTTTTATCTTCTTTCTTTTCCTTTTCACTCACTATCTTCTACCTTTCTCTCATCCCTTCCCCCGTCCCCCATCTGTGGGAAGCTGCCATTGTGCGCATGTCGCAGATGAGTCAATTTGTGGAGGCAGGACGGGCACACGCTCCCTACCCGCACGCGCGCGCATCCTGTCTCCCACGAAGGCATCTGTTTCAGTCTGTCTCTCCGCGAGATGCAGCACCAACAGAGGGGAGAGGGGGAGACGACGAGCCCGGGGAGGGAGGGAGGCAGAAGAAAAAGAGGTGTGAGGAAGGAGGAGAGGCAGAGCTAAGAGAGAGAAGAAAGAACTGAAATAAGAAAAGAAAAAGGAGTAAGCTGAGAAGAAGCGGGAGGACGACGAGATGCGGCTGTAGCAGCAGAGCTTGTGACTTCTGAAGAGTTTCGCCTCGGAGATGGTTGAGTCGTATCATCCTGGCGTTTGACTCTGAGCATCTCCAGCGCGCGAGCGTGTGTTTGAATGTGTGCATGAAGCCATGGCGAGTGCTCAGCCGGGGGTCCACGCACTGAAACTCCAGCCTCCCTGCGTCTCACACACCCTGAGGAACGGAAGCAACTTCATTAAATGGGATGAGGTAAGAATGCAGACCCATATAACCTCCTTAAGTTCTTTACATGTCTTTCTCCTATACGGTGGAGAATTGAGTACTTTGTTTATGAAGCGACTCAGGAATTTCATTGAATCCAGTCCAAGCGAATTAATATGGAGTGTGAGAAAAATGAGGAGGAAGAGGAGGAAATGTGCCATGTTGTCAGATGTGTTTACTGTTCATTTGTTGATTGAGCTTTGGCAGTAAGTACCTGTGTGCGCCGCGCCAGATAGGACTGATGGTGTTAACTGCATTTGCAGTCAGCTACTCTTTGGCCACCTGTTGGTGCAGAATCCATTGGCATGTCTTTGAGTGTGTGTGTGTGTGTGTGTGTGTGTGTGTGTGTGT